ATACATATATTTTTTCACATGTATGCATACTTTTCATGCTATTACTCCGCATCCACGCACACTTTTAAAAGATTGTCTAACCTATGTTACTTCTATGGGATCGCATGACGTACTGTGAACATTTAAGTAAAATCTGTTCAGTGTTTTTGGGTCCACAAACAATATATGTTCTATATACATATATATATACATTAAAATGCAATGTGGAGTACATTTTACTTGAATCGTACCACGCTCATGTTGTAAGGATGCGTATTTACACCCACGTTACTCAGAAATATTTTTGAGGTATGATTACCTTAGAACTTTATGTATCCTATAGCTGGACCCGTGGCACTTCGCTGCCCCTGCTAAAGTTATCAACGTTAAATTTGAATAGCATATAGCTATAATTAATTAGTAAGCAAACTTTATCCAGCTGCAGTATGAACTAATTTTAATCTAAAAATTATGTAAACCCTGGATTTTATGCGCTCCTGCCTTTCTGATTCGTAACTGACGATTGCTGTGTGTTAGTTATTGAATTAATCGCTGTTTTCTGTAATAGTGGTAATTTTTGTTTTCTTGAAACATAAAAACAGACTTTTTCGCAAAGTGGCAAAAAATTAAAAAATTATGATGTTAATAATTTTTTTATCAATAAAGCATGAAAATGAAGAGAAGGATGTTAGCGGAATTACTGAACTGGTTGTTATTGTTAGTACAGTTAATGACATAATAATTATTTGTTAGTACATAATAATTATTACCACTGAACACGTGTTGTGCGTACATTTCGAAGGAGAATATTTTCATTTAAATTTTGAAAGCTTAATGTTGTCAAAGTAAAACTATGAAAAAATTATAATCATATGTCTGCATGAGACTACATTGTGTAATTATGCTATGGTGTTTACTGTAGAAATTTCTATTGTTCCTAAATTGATCAACATATGTTGTAATTGATATTAAATTTAATATTTTCATACCAATTGTTTTAATTCTTCACTCAAAAAATTAAGATTAATCTGTAAAATAAAATTTTAATTTTAACCGAAATAAAGTCGATTTCATGCTAAATTGAATTTTTATTACTGATTCTCAACGTGATGTTCATAATATAAATCATTGCTTTCTTCATTTTATGAGAGCTGTTAACTATGGAGCCTGTTTCAATTATTATGAAATTGTTAGATATCGAAAAATTACCAATGCCATACATTCGCCACTAATAAATAGTAGTTTTTTTTTAATACAAACTGAGATTCAGCCTGACTATTTTGCAAAAACAAAATATTTTGTTTATGTTTTCAATTATATTAACATCGTAATAAAAGTAAACTACTGAAGACAAGAAACATATTAATATGCTAAGAATTATTTATATTTATATTAAATTCCTAATATTTTCACCATAGAGCAATGACATATCATACCCCACGAGGGGTATTATAGTGCCGAAACTTCTGGTGTAAGGAATAATAGGGGATATATGGAACATACCAAAAAGTGGCCTATACCGACAAGTGTACCAAGCGATTGTTGTACGCCAAAATGCACACGAAATACAAATTTCAGCATTTTTAATGGGTATTTTTCTAAAACCTCAAAACCCCAAATCGTGGTCCGATATTGATAACGCATGGTAGGTTGGAACATGTGTACAAAAGCCTCAAAATATTGCAATTTACAGGTCAAAGCTATATGTGGGGCTAAGGGGAATTAATATTGATTACATCGTGTAGGAAATACCGAACACTTGGTGTTATCATTATAGAAGGGACTGTGCCTAATTGAGGACCGATATAGATTAATTTCGAACATAACATTTTCCTTTTGTATCGAAATACCTTACTCCACGCTATATATTAAAAAATACCGAAAATAGGCAGGTATAAGAAAGGGCTAGGCCTCCTCCGAAGGTAGAATGATTACAACAGATAGCTAAATCGTCTTAGAATTCTATACTTTCCAGTAGAGAATATACCACATACTATGGTGGAATACGATTAAATGGGGACAAACACAAAACGCGGAACAAGTCAAGTAAATACTTTTACATAAAAGGGGTTATATGGCGAAAATTAAAATTTTTGGGAGGGAGATTTGAAACCATATACGACTACAAAATACCAAATTACAGCGAATCCGGTTGAAAACGAGCTCAAGAACCAAAAATTTCGAAACTTGTGGTGTACCCTTATATGGGAGCTATGCCTAAACATAGACCGATATAGCTCATCTTCGAACGTAATTTGCCTGCAAAAGACAACTCTCTGCATAATTTTGGAGATCTATCTATCTATGGAAAAAAACTTATTATACCTTAAGGTAAGTAAGGGTATACACGGAGGCTGTATAAAAATTCATATAAATATGCTGAAGGTTATCAGATTTTAGATATATTAATATGTGTAGTGTATATAAAGTATTCTACACCTTAACATATTCAAAATTTTCCAATAAAGTATACATAATCATGATCAGTAGTGTAACTACTTAACACAAAATTACCGACGATTGTGGATAACTGCAAATTTTTATTTGCTTATAATTTCATTAATTTACGAAAGTACCAACATAAAGCAGTCGTGAAGGCCTACCGACATTTATATTAAGAAGTGTGTTTTAACTGTATCTATATTTGCCGGTAACAAAAAAAAAAAAAAAAAAAAAAAGAATTGCACTACACTATTTAGCCATGTCTGTGAGGCCGTCTGTTGAAATTACGATAGAGCTCGCAATATTGAAGATAGAGCTTTGAAATTTTGATATACATTACTATTACTCCTAGGATGTTTCGATGGGATATATGGGTCGACCTGTGCAATAACACAATATAAAGGTCCCGACCAATCTAAGGAGTTTTTATTGCACACACGTGATGGTGGGTAATTAGGTTTAGCCCGGTCGTACTTTATGATGTTCTTATTTTTTAAAACTTAAAATTTTCTTAAATATTTGCCGAATTTACACACAATAATGTGTGTAAATATATAAAAAAATCAGGATACATTTGCAGATTCTACGAATGTTTGTTATCAAAAACTTGTCCACTCTTTCAATGCAATCTAATCAAAAAATTTGTCGTATTCAACTGTATAAACACTTATCAAAAAAAAAAAAAAAAAAAAATCAACTGTAATCTGTATCCAACCTGGATGACATATTTACATAAATAATAAATCCAATTAGTATTCACTCCAATCCATGTTGTTGATTGTATCTACAAAAGTCATCGAAAAAAACGGGAAAAAAACTTTCCATGCTTAACAACACTACAACGTTGTTGCCGAAAAAAACCCGACCAAAAAAACTTGTTGGCCAAAATACCAAATATGGTTTCTAAAACACGATATCTAACTATTTGTGTATGCTGCAACAAGGGAAAAAATCTGAAAACACCAAATCTCTAAAAAAACCGCACACAACTAAAAAAACACCCAAACCAGAGTTGAATATTGTATAAATTCCTCATGAAATTTCAATTTTAAAACTATTATGCTGCGATAACAAAAATGCTTGATTTCTCCGCACTTCATGTGCTGATGCCGCCATTTTGTTGTTGTTGTCGTCATCGTCGATGTGGTGTTCACTCTGATCCATTGGAGTCTGAATCCCTTCATAACACGACAACGGTTGCCATAAGAAACATTTCCAATTGAACACGGATATATCAGGGACAGACAAGGAAAAAAGAATCCAAAATCCGGTATTCACTCTACTCGCTTAAACACACTCACACGCACACACTTTAGCTCAAAATCATGACAAAAACAAACTACCAAAAAACCAAGTTGTTTGGTTGGATGTTCAGCTCACAAAAATGCACATTCAATAACAATTCACCCAATTCCCTCATGAAATGCCATGTGTTACAGTCAAATTGTAGAAACCCCTCTCTAACTTTTAGCTCAAAGTGATGCACATGGATTTGAAAAGCCAGAATGCAAAAGTCTGTGGTTGGTTTAAGGCGAAAATGTTTGGGATTTATTTGGAATTATAGGAAAGTGTTGTTTTTTTTTAATTTTTTAGCGCTTGGAGGTTAATAGGTCTGAAAAGGTCAATGATTAGAAATTCCTCTTGACAGATAAAATTATTTTTCGACTTAAATGAAACGAATGGCGTTCGATTTTTAAGCGTTCATGTAATATAACAAATAATTTGCAAAACGTAGAGTAAAATTTTGCTGCAGGTAGAGTTGTAATTAGATCAGCGGGGTCGATCAATAATTCGAACTTAAATAATTTTGTTAAATAAAATCGAATATACCCTAAGTAAAATATCAATATCGGTACCCCAAAGAGATCTAGCCATCTGTTGTAATCAATCCACCTTCGAAAGATATCGTGATAAAAAACTCGAACCTTACGAGAATGAAATATAAAAGACCACATTTAGGCCTAGACCCCATATATGATACCTCTCGATTTAAAAATGGCTGAAATTCGTATTTCGTGTGCCTTCAGGCTTTGTACAATTTTCGGTATCGACTTTTGTATGTTCCATATACCCTCCCACTATTTCTTACATCATCATTGCTAATAAATGGCAATACTCTATGGTGAAAATTTAAAGAATTATGTCCGAAATCGGGGTGTTTTTATTCGGACTCCGTCTCCTGCAAAATTTGCAGAATCCGACATTGAGTTCGACTCAGCAGCACTGGTTGTAACTACGCTTCCATTTTTATTCTTACACTAAAAATATCAAAATGTTCTTCTTTACTGGAAAAAAGCGTTTCCAACCTAAATCCTGCATCTAACACTCAAGTCATATACGTACGTCCGTATGTTTTCGCCTGCGTTCACTTAGAAAAGAAACATGGGAAAAGTGAACAGTTGAATCTTTGTGTGTGGGAGAGAAATAAGGATGGCAAAAACAAAATCAAATTGTTACATAAGCGAACATTCAACACTGACAATAACACGAACAAGTACTATCAAGTGGCGGGCGGGAGGCTGGGCTGGTGTTGCGGAGATAAGGAAAATGAAGTATAGAACTTGTACGCGCATAAATACATATAAAGTAAATCACACTCACGTTCGATTTTCATCAGGATGGTGCGCTCTTGCATATCGGATGCGATGCTGCTGACTTGATAAGCACGACACGTATATTCGCCAGTTTCATTTTGCGTAACAGTGGTGACACTTAATCCGTCACCCAAATATCTAAATTTTGCTGCATTCTCTGTAAGAAAAAGACAAAAACAAATACACACAGATAAGGAGATGTGAAAAAGATGGCAAAAATAGGTAAGGTGATGAACAAGCATTCAGCGATGAACAAGAGAAATCAATTGAAATAAATAACAAAGATTTGTGTTTTATTTTTTGGTGGAAAAATGGTTAAATGTTTGATTTTGATAAATGCATCCATCAGATGTGTTACAGTTCACAGGTGTAGTTAACTATTCTAAGTGGAATTTTAAATGTGGTTAAGCGAATGTCAATTATTAAGTAAGAAAATGTAAAAAAACAAACAAATCATTGATTTCTAAGAATATATAATTAAAATTATACTTGGGACACCATTTAAATTGAATCGGTTGAAACAATATATGGGATCTATTCGAATATAGATTTGCAACTATATCTAAACCGATTTGAACAAAACTCATTCTAGTTTCAATTTAGTGGAAAATTTCATGTCAATCTAACAATCTAATTGGTGACATACTTTACTTAAATCGGAAGGAAATTTATATGAAAGCTATATTAACATAAATAACTCTAAATTCGGTAGGTTGTGCACTATCGTTCAATCAGATAAAAATATATATCGCAGTTAAATCTAACTGTGCACCATTCAAACCATTGAAGCGTGGAGTACAATATTACCGGGAATATCCAGAAGAACAGTTGTCCTTGCTTCAATGTATTTTCCAGCATGATTTATACTGATTGTCATGGTTAGAATTAAGTTACCAAATTACTCCGTTTGGGTATTGAACGCTTAAACGACATCTTATGGCGACAAAAATCATGAATCGGACATTTTTTCTTAATGTGCGGGAATGAAATTTGGTGCCAAATCATGGCTGTAAGGCGGGAAACAAGGCTTTCAGAATTGGCAGCCATAGGTTTATCATTTGTTTGGCCCAAAAATAAAAAACGCTATTGCAATTGTTGAAAATTGGTTCAGATTTGGGGGTTTTAAAACGTATAAAAATAGATCAATTTTTTCGGGTAGGCTTCATATTTTCGATATTATTTGGGACATACGGCTCTTATGGGGTACTAAATTCCCCCACTAAAAGTTATAAATATAGGTTCATTTTTTGGTAACGGTACCCCAATTTTTATACCCTTCACCACACTGTGGTACAAAGTATTATGTCTTTGTGCATATGTTTGTAACAGGCAAAATGAAACGAGAAAGACACATGGTTCCTTTTGAGAATATACATTGAATCACTTTCTAAGTCGATTTATGTATGTCCGTCCGTCTGTCTGTCTATGTTAAATTGTAAACAAAGTGCAGGTCGCATTTATGATTCGAATTGGATGAAATTTGGCATAGCTCATTAATTTGGTCCAAGGAGGATATAGCTCCCATATATATATTCGTCCGATTTAAGGTAAATGGTGCACTATAAATATTTAGATTTGCACGAAATTTTGCACGTGCTGAATTAAGTCTAGAATGATGTGTGCTAAGATTCGTGGAAATTGGTTCAGATTTAGATATAGTTCCCATTTATATTTTCGTCCGATTTTATGTAAATGGTGCACCAAAGACCCTGTGTATACTTCGATTTGCAAGAAATTTGGCACAGCGTACTGAATTAAGTCTAGAACGGTGAGTGTTACGATTCGTAAAAATCGGCACAGATTTAGATACAGCTCTCATATATATTTTCGTCCGATTTTATGTACCAAAGTACCTATATATCCTTCGATTTGCATGAAATTTGGCACAGCGTATTGAAATATGCCTAGAATGATGTGTGTTAAGTTTCGTGAAAATCGGTTCAGATTTCGGTATAGCACACATATATATTTCGTCCGATTTAATAGAACTGGTGCATTAAGGTCCCTATATATTTTGCACGAAATTTGGCATAGGGTACTGAATTGAGTGTGGAATGATGTGTGCTGAGTTTCGTGAAAATCGGTTCAGATTTAGATGTGGCTCCCATATATAGTTTCGTCCGATTTTATGTAAATGGTGCACCAAAGTCCCTTTCTATCTTTCGATTTGCATGGAATTTGGCATAGCGTACTGAACAGAGTTTCGTGAAAATCCGATTTTATTTAAATTTATTTACATTTCGTAAAAATCGGTTCAGGTTTAGATATAGCTCCCATACATTTTCCTTCGATTTTATGTAAATTGTGCACTAAAGACCCAAAATTTGTACGATTGACACATAATTTTGATGAAATCGGTTTAGATTTAGATATAGCTCCCATTTATATTTTCGTTGGATTTTAGGTAATTGTTGAACCGGTTGACACGAAACGTGTCAAATTGAGACTAGAATGACGTTATAGTTTTCTAGTTGGTGCAGATGCCGACACGGCTTCCATATTAATTACAAACGGGTATCGGATTGAGATTGAATTTATTTAAATAAAATTGATTTACATATTTGTCCCAAACGACTCTAAACTTGTTCGAATAAAATGGAATTTAGCATAGGTTCCAGAAAGAGCACATATTCATGTTTGTTCAATTTCATGTCAATGTTCTTTTGAAAAGGCGGAGTCTGTTAGGAGACATATGTAGAATATACCAAAAGTATTAGGCCGAGTCCGAATTTACTGCTTTCCTTACTGGTTAAGTATTTTTGGTGTTTTGATCTTATTTTTCGACCGAATCAGCTGTAATTTAGTACTTCGAGTTCTTATTGGGTAGTAAATCTCCGAAAATCTGTCAAAATAATAAAATAAAAGTACAAACGTTTAATACCTTGTACCACAGTGTGTTGTTCAGTATAAATGCAGCTAGATCATCGCGTTGATATGTCCAATTTGTACTACTTAGATATATGGTACCGAAACATATTCATATGAAATTCTAATTTAAAATTCCAATACAAAATATTTCACATAAAATTCAATACTCAAATACGTAAAATTATATTAATGAGTCAATTATCGTTTTCTCTATTAAAATAAAATTACATGGGATTTATTAACATTCCTTTAAAACAATGGCCCTTAAAGTATTCCATTTCAAGGTATTGCTCCTTGTTGTAGTACAACAACAACACACTTCTGCTTTTGCCAGTGAATGAAAGGAAAATAAAAACAAATACCACATCGGAAATAAAGAATAGGCCGCTTTATTTCGAACATTCCCTACACCTGTGTCTGCTTTACAAGCTGTGAAAACGAATTGTGCAATAATTGAGATGTATTGTTATTGGACTTACCGACATTGGGTATAAATTCTCCATTGAAATACCAGGTAATATTCGGTTGTGGTTCACCAGTAACTTCACACCAGATTGTGGTATTCTCTCCTTCCTTTACGGTTAAAACTGATGTATTTTCGGCGAAGGTAATTTTCTCTGTTAAGGAAGGAAATGAAGAAGGAATAGAAAAAGAAGACGATGTAATAAAAGATGGAAAAGAAAAACAATTTTCTTTATAGAAATCTTGTCGCTATTGTTTTCAGGTCTATTATGTGTGTGCGTATTTCTTTTTTGTTTCTAAAGCTGTATTTTACGGTCTGCTTCGTCTTCTTCACATCCGTCCGTCTGTCTGTCGTTATTTTATTCAGTGTTTTCTTTTTTGGCTCTTAACGATCAATTAGTTTTCTATTGTTCCTAAGATATTTTGCCTGATGTTACGTTGCAATACTTACGATGGACTGTTAAATTAAACGCTTTCTCAGCACGGCCACCTTCAGCATCGACGCACGACCAATTACCTTTATCGTCCAATGCGAGATGCATAAAAACCAATTTAAGTTCTTTTGGTTGGTAAAAGAAAATGCAAAGAGAACAGAGAAGAAACAGAGAAAAAATCAAATAAAAATAATGATAGCTTAAAGTAACAATAGCTGGAGGAGCACAATGGGTTAAATATTTACGCGGAACTATTTTAAAAGTGTTGCATTAAAAAGCCAAATAAAGTAACACCATAATGGTATGGCAAAATCACCTATACTGGTGGCCAAAACTAAAGCCCTGAAATCGCAAACTGAATAAATGACCTGTTACTTTTTTTTATAAAAACCAATAAGGAAAGTTCAAAAGTAGGACGGGGCCGACTATATGATACCTTTCACCACTTTGGGTACATACAAGATATTCCTTTAGATATAATAGACATATCATCTTTGGAGGAATCTAACGAAATTAACTGCGTGAAGTTGTAGATATTTGAACTAAATTAAAACAACCCATACAGATACAATCTAAAATCTATGAAAAATTGAATGTCAATCATCAAGCATAACGATCCGAGCGACATGTTTACCTTCCTGTCTAGCAATGGTAATATTAATCATATCAAAATACGTAGACACCTTTGTATAACTCCAACATAAGAGTAAATAGAACAATATAATTGGTATCAATGTAAAGGTCAACCACCCCATTTTGGATATACCATTAACATCTCGGATCTATGTCCTGCAGGTGTAAATATATATGCCACAGAATGCCTAATTTATAATTTTTCACACAAAAGTCTGGGTCTTTTTCATCCACTAAATATTGAGCGATCTTCATCAATTCTATGGTCAGCTTAATCTGAGTAAAATTTTGTAATTTTCGAGTCATAATTGTGGCCTCTAGAGTGACCAAAAAACTGACATACAAAACTAAACATTAACCGATAATTACCAAAAACAATAGAGATATTCTTTGGTCAGAACCAGAGATGGTCCGTCAAAAACAGTGACAGTAAGAAATCCACCCAATGGCATTAGGGTTTTTGACAAAATAGCTATTTCCATTAATTAATTTGGAAATTACATAAGATTACGCAAATCCATATCAAATTTCAAAAAAATTTTTTTCTGCAAAAAGTTTAGAGTTTTTTATCAGTCCTAGTAAGGCATAGTCGGATATATGTAAAAATAATATACATACATATATTCATGAGAATAACTTTATATGATAATAACATTTGAATACATGAAGTTTACTACATTTTATACAGATATATGACGTTTTCGACGTTTACACCTTTTTGGCAGTCGAAAACATAAGAATTCCTCACATGGATCATCACTTGTCAGAACCCAATTATAACTGCGGTCTTTATCGCGTTTATAAATTATAATGGACATACGGACGGACACACTGGTCTAGATCTACTCAGCTAGTCTAGATATGACGATCGGTATACTTAAAGGTGTGTCTAGGACAGCAGTGCCCAAAATAGGTCGCATGAACTGTCGGTGTTTGTCAAAACTCTCACACACACAATGATAAAAATAGAAACATTTGAAAATAAAAAATATTTTCAAAATTGTCATTCATTCCTTTTTGTTCTCATACACTGAACGAAAAAATTAGGATTTTTTTTCTCACAGTTTGATAAGAGAGAAACATAAATTTGAAACTTGTGTATTTGAAACAAATACAATAACAAACATTTGCATGTATTAGTGTGGACAGCCCTGGTCTAGGACCAATATTTCGCGGCGTTACAAACTCTTGGGGCTGCACAAAGCTATAATACCCGAACAACATAGTTGTGTAGGGTATAAAATGGGGTAATATGGGTATTACCCCCAATAGTGGACGCATACTAATAAAATTTGGGAGGAAGATTTGTTACCTATTAGGATTACAAAATACCGATACAAAATGTGTTGAAGAACGCGCACAAAATGTGTTGAAGAACGTTAAATCCCAAAAGCTTTTATGCATTTGTTAATTCTAAAAGAAAAGTTAGTGAATTTCCTAGTAGTATGAAGAATGGTAGTAAAGATTCCGCTGATACGGTTGAAATAACAGACATGTTTGCAGATTTCTTTCAAAGTACATACTCTACATTCACATTCAACTCAAAGTATGCTTTTAATATTGATAAAATAAACAATTTCGCTAATTTTCTTCTAACAGAAGATGAAGTGTTGAATGGTTTAGTTTCAATAAAGTATTGTTGCTCCCCTGGTCCTGACTGCTATTTTTAATCTTTCGCTGTCTACAGGGTACTTTCCTCTGTCCTGGAGATCTAGCTTCATTATCCCCTTACATAAGTCTGGTAGCAGAAATGTTATTGAAAATTATAGGGGTATTGCAAAATTAAGCTCCATTCCAAAACTTTTCGAACTTCTAGTATCACGTAGAATAATTCATTTCGTTTCGCCAATAATTTCACCTTGTCAACATGGTTTCATAAAAGGGAGATCGACTTTAACTAATCTGATGGAATTAACATGCCATGCACATCATGGATTTTCTACAAAGCAACAAACAGATTTAATTTACACTGATTTTAGTAAAGCATTTGATACGGTGTTACACAAACTTTTATTATTTAAATTGGACGCCATGGGTTTTCCATTCAAAATTTTGACTTGGATTTCATTCTACTTGCAAAACCGCACTCAAAGCGTATCTTATAATAATATTTTCTCTAGAAATATTGATGTTCATTCTGGAGTTCCTCAAGCCATTTAGCCATTTAGGTCCACTATTATTTGTGTTATACCTTAACGATCTTCCATCAGTGATTAAATTTTCTAAAGTGTTGATGTTTGCTGATGATGTAAAACTTTTCAGAAATTTAGACTCACTAAATCAAGCCCTTAATCTACAAAATGATTTGCACTCTCTTGAATACTGGTGCAGTATTAACGGCATGTCACTGAATCCTAAAAAAAAGTAAAAAATTATGCCTTTCTAAATGTCGTTCAATTCCCACCAATTATTTTATAGGCTCTTACAAATTAGACAATGTGGATTCTTTTGTTGATCTTGGTGTTATCTTAGATGATAAATTGCGATTTAATTTGCATATTGAGTCATGCGTAAATAAAGCCAAATCTTTACTAGGATTTATAAAACGATGGTCTAAAGAGTTTGACGACCCTTATGTGACTAAACGTTTATTTGTTAGTCTGGTTCGGCCTACATTAGAATATGGATGTGTGTTGTGGAGCCCGTTTTACAGTTGTTATTCTAAAAAAAAATGAATCTGTCCAAACACAATTTCTCTTATTTGCTCTTAGAGGTTTGCCTTGGAGTACAGTTGAAGGACTCCCTCCTTATGAAAATCGTTTAAAACTTATTAATCTTCCAACACTAGAACGAAGACGTTTAATGCTGAGATCTATATTTTTAATAATGTACCTTCACGTCTTACTCGTAATTATATACCGCTTTATCTTCCTTTAGTGAGATCTAATTATGAGTTATGTAATCCCTTTAGATCACTATGTGAAATATATAACAACCTGTATAATCGCATCTCTTTATCTGATCCAATACATGTAATTAAAAAGTCTATTCTAAATTTAGAACTGTAGAGTGCAAGCAGTTGCCAGATGTTTATGTTTTGTGTTTGTCTTTATTGTTGTGTTTAATTAATTAACTTTAAACTGTTTAACCGGCTGATGTTTACTGTAGCCGGTGTTTCCCAACATTACTAACCCTCTATAATCCGGATTATGGGGTGTACGTTCTCCCTACGTTATGGGGAGGAGGCCCCCTCAGTCGGCAGGGGCGAGTAAGAGTGGCGTGGGAACGATCGAAAAAAAAATATAAATAAAATAAAATTGTGGGTACCGTCATATGGGGATTCTTAGAGGCGAAATTTGATACCCAATAAATACTGGCAGAGGTAGAATTATATGGGGGATATGCCTACAATAGAGCGAATTTACTTAATATTGTTGTTTACTTTTGTAATCAAAGAAAATCCCTCCTTTTCAATGGCAGGTATCGTTACCGATCACTGAAACATCCGAAATCAAAAAGAAATCGCAAATTCCAACATGATTTGAAGGAGTACATGTGTGTTATGAACTAGGACAATTAACATCGTGCAAAAATTAAAAAAACAGCGGACTTATAAAAACAGCGGACTTATATGTTGTCGGAAAATCAGGAAGACCTTCGTCGATATATTCCAAAATCTATATACATAAATATCCCATTGTGTATTACCTTATTAAAATTACTATAGAATTTATATAAAAACTAAGGAAAAAACAAAAAAGCGATTCTACTTAGTTGGAACACAATGTTTTACAACGTGTTAACAATGTCATTAAATACGCATTAAAACACCCGCCATTGGCAATTTCGTTTGTAACACTAGTAAACATCTATTACCTCCGCCCAGATAAACACAATCGCACACACACACACGTTCACATTCACTCACCCTCACGCAAACACATAAATATCAAGAAAGGACATAAGATAAGGTTAGCAGAGGTTAGTTGCTACATCTAGAAACGACAAAAAAAAACATAGAGCAGAGGAAACACTAAAGTTCATTTTACCTGGTTTTGAACTCGATTCAATGTGGATGCGTCCTTTATGCTCTTTGATTATTTCACCTTTTGGCGACTTCCAGTGTAGTTTGACATCCGGTATGGGACTGCGGCACAGCACCATAAACGATTCATTTACGTAGCGGACCATTTGCGGATAATACGGTATCAGTGTTAGGCCACTACTAACACCAGCATCATTGGCATTGGCTGTGGCATCGTTCTCATGATGACTTCCAGAGACCATTACTACTGCACAACGGCGAACATGAAAATAGAGAAAAAGATGGAAAGAATGGAAAAAAATAAGAATAAGTAACAAAGATAATTAGCTGAACATGTTGGTATTACAAAACAAAGCTGATCAAATTTATATTGTTTTGCTTAAGTTGACTGCTAATGACACTTGTCCCTAGATTAAAATCAATGTTTAGCATTTTGTTGCAAGTGGTCCCCTCATCACAACGGCCAACATCTATCTCATCGCCACCATACATCCAGCACAACACAGCCCTTTAGCAATATTGAGTCTTGTATTGTCTTCCCTTTATGCTTTCATCATCGATTGTCCTAATATTGACATTTTTCGACAGACAAGGGAATCGGGATCAGGATAAAGAGGGCAAATGACGAGGGCAAATGACGAGGGCAAATGGCACGTTTTCGACAACGACAATGGTGACATGTTTTGATGCCGTTTCTCAGGTTTCTGGCCCAAAGGTAAATGTACGCCATTGACAGTTTGTTGGCAGTTTGTTATAGTCAATGTGATGAACGTCCTTTGTAGGGTATTTATTGAAGGGACACGTTTTATTTTTAGCTTTCATTTAATGAATACTCTTAATCGATTGCTATGGGGGTTAACATCATAGCATTACATAGATTAAAAATTTAAATTTTATTTATGTGTTTTTTGTTAAATTCAGTTTGTTATACGAAAGTACTTTTAGACATTTTTCCTTATGGAATGATGTCTGGACGTTAAAGGATTTCTAAAATTGTATAAATTTACAGAGAATCTGAAGAACCGAGCTGATGATAAACCGATAAAAAAAATCCACTTTTTACAGAATTTATAGACATTTAATATATGAAATCTACTTGTGTTTTGATTTTAATGAGTTTTATAAGATTAATTTTTAATTAGAAAAAATATTCCATATTTAAGAACAGCTTATTATTGCAGGTCAACATTTCAAACTATGAAATATATGCCGAAAAAATAATGAAACAAGTAACTATCATAAGATGCACATTCATGTAAGGGAGCGTCCATAGAGACTTTGGAGAAAGGTGAGAAGACTTAGCTGGGCTGTTAAAAATGTGCAAAGTGTCGTGTGGTCCTTGTCCAAGTGATGACCATGTGTTAGGTGTCGTGCCGTCAATTCATGCCGAGTAGGAATTGAAGCGGCTGTACCATCCTGATCATACATGTGCTAAGACTATTGTGTCTGTCTAGACAGCTGCTTTTCCTCTGCTGATATGGATGGTGGAATGCCTCCGAGTATAGTATTCTATTGCTTGAGTGGCGTCATCTGTGTGAATACTATTCTGGAATGCCTGATATACAGGTTCACGCTGGTACCTTTGGGCCTCTCTTTCCAGACCCCTGACTTGGCTCGCCATGGGGAGCCTTCCATAAGGCTATGACAGGGGTGTTCCCGGCGATAACATTAATTCAGGTACTGTCTCAATCTGCCTCCCATGAAGGCCGGTTCTGTGCATCGGTTTGACTCGGAGGACAGTTGACAGCACAGCAAATACTTGTTCGTGCATCAACATGGTAGCTACATGTGGAGGTTGACGCTTAGTTAATTAGAGAGGTGGAGGTTGATCCATTATGTCCAGTACAGACCTATCTGGCCTGAGCTAGACGCTAGTGACCCATACGTGGAATGTACTGGGTGGCGGTCAAGTGTGGAGGTGCTTAACGTCTATATTCCGTTGTTAAATACATACAGACATTAGTAATCTTTTGGAATGCAGCACATCATGAACTATGGCATCCTAGGTAATGACCATTGGGACATGGCGCTGGCCGAGCCAATAGATAGCTCAACTTTTTGCACGGTGAATAAGGAGATACATACCAGGATATAGGGAGACTGCCAAAGCTTACCGGACATTTCCATCGTGTCACCAGGTCTGACGAATGACGTGGCTTGGCAATCCGTCAATTCATTGGGTGAGATAACCTCCCAATTATCATATAAATCAAAGACCGCCCGACTTTATAACTTCTGAACGCCTTAATTTCTTTACCCATGGGAAAGCCAATTGACAAGAATTCAACAATTTCACCAATTGTCGCTTTAGAGAACTGCACAATCCATATGATGCTCGGGTAACAGAAAGGAATTTCCGGCTCATCATCACTGATGCAGCCGCTTACTATATACCTGCGTGTCGTATACCCGTTCGGGGACTTAACTTCCCAGTAGAGGCCGCGTGAATAGCAAATGAACGTGATGAGCTTCTTCGTACTAACCCTACTAACTCCAGAATCAGAGAACTGACGGTGAAAGTGAAAAGGTTAGTCGGCGAGTATAAGCGGAAAAAGTTTCTAGAACTTCTGAAGTGTAGTAACATCAGTACAGGAGTAAATAAACAGTTAAGTCCCTCTCGAACACAGGAAGGAATGATGATCGGACGTCAGTGTTCTTTTTTCAGTCTGTTTCACCTCCGACGAAGTGAGCGAGTTGTTTCAATCGGCATTTTGTAGAGCACTCCGAGAGTTACAGGGCGAAGAGAAGAGTATTATGCCGTATACGATATTTTCAAGTGGAGGAGAAACCACCACAATTTACGTTGGAGGATGTTGCAAATGTCATCAGAAGCCCAAATTCATCCGAGGCGCTGCATCCGGATGGAACATCCATGGTGTTGAAGCAACTTGTTGAGATAAGAGTAGAGTACCTAACTAAAGTCCTCAACATTCTGAAGCCAGCAAAGGTGAATCACACAGTCGATTTCACTTTTGTCGGCAGTAGCTAAGACCCTTGAGACATTGCTACTTCCTAGCATTCGTGAATGCTACTCAGTTGATGATCATCAACATGGATTCCGGAAGCAACACAGCACAACAACAGTTTTGCACAACGGAAGGACATAACCAGAACAGGCCGTGTAATAGGACCGTTATGGTCTGGACCTATCAAAGGCATTTGATACTGTTAGAAATGCCAAGCTGTTCGGGGACTTCGAACGAACAGCCCTCCAGCCAAGTTTGAAACGTTGGCCGTACGTGGAATTCAGAATTTACGTAAACAATATCTCCCCGGCATTTGGTAATGGTCCACATTACACGTTGCACCTCTTTGATTGCCCAGCCAAACCATCTAACCCCATCTTCACTTGGAACATAAATGATACACCAATTGTAGAAAAGTCAAGTGTCAAGAGATTTTGCTCTTTTGTGCTTGACCTCAGATGAACATAAATTGTTTTTCTATAACTGTTATATAAATATAATATTTTAAATCAAACACTATGTTCTAGCTTCACAGTTTGTTTGTGTAAATATTTTTCTTATCACCTTTCAGTCATTGCCACGCCAAGAGGATGCGAACAAATGAACAGCAACATAACCCAAACAAAAGTTATCCCAGTTTTCATTACCTTCGATAGCCGAGGCGAACACGGGAGTTGTTCTGTGTTATCAGTTCTCCGTTATGTTTGGGATTTGCCTCAATCTCCGCAATCAAAATGCATCCCATGGGTGAAGGTGTTCGTGTGCCAGATTCATGCACTGGCTGACCATTCCAAAAAAAAAAATAATGGACTTTCATATTCACTACATGTTCCATGAAGTTTGCGAAGTGGTTGTTGTTGTTGTCGTTTTGGATTTTTGTTGCTAAATTTTTACGACTTTCGAAAGGATTTGCAGAGTTAAGCTGTTTGCAAAGAGATTGTTTTTAACGTCCGTTCGTTTTCGTATTTTTTCGTTTCGTTTAGCATTTTTTGTTTTTTTTTTCTGGGAGTTCAAGTTGCAGTGAATGGCACTCTTGGACACCAGGATACCATGAAACGATAACGTTTCTAATAGGTTTATCAATTTAAAAACATTCAAATAAGATTAGGCCAAAAGATTGTTTTGCAAATGGCTGAGAAGGGATTTCCAAAGTTTTGGGGATTTGTTGTTGCATTTATTTGCACTGAATTGAAATTCATATGGGGGGAAGTTGTGTAATTGAGCAGGGTCTTAGCTGAGATAGAAATAGTTTTAAGAGATTTTATGCGAATGTCGGTATAACTTTTGTTGTTGTTGTTGCTTCGGAAATCCAATGCGATAGTAAATCTATTTATGTGATATAAGTATAATGCTAGATAAATTTTGGATATTGAAATTAAAAGGTGTTCGGGGTGATGTGATTTGACATACAAATGCATTGAAGTTTGAATGATGCTAATATCAGATACGAAAGTAGAGTAAAATTGATTAAAAATGAGACATTAATCATAATATTGTGTTTATAAATTGAATTTTTTTTTTGAATCTTGTAATTAACTGTGACACATTTCTAAATGTGGTTTTCAAAAAAGTAATAATCAATAATTTTGTTTTTGCAAAATAGTCAGGCTGAATCCCAGTTTGTTGTTTTTATAAAAAACAACTATTTATTAGTGGGGAATGTATGGTATTGTTTGCCGAGGGGTAATTTTGGGCAAGGTGGTTTTTTACCTCCCAAAAAAATAATATGCTCAATAACGTTGATTTATACTTACACGGGCTTTTCCAGGCATTCAACATATCATAAATCCTGGCCATCAAACTTGAATTTGTTTAAAAAACAGTGGGATTATATGTACATTGATATATTACATCAGGTGGCATTTTAAATTTGAAAGGGACACTTTCTTCAAGAATACTAAATTCTCGATACCTGTTGAACAAACCTTATTAAATAATTATTAAAGAAATATATATTAAATTCCTAATTTGTATTAAGGACATTTTTTGTATTGCTTCTTGCGAATACTTTGGATTGTTCTTTCTATTTCCTTACCACATGCATCCATCCATCGGTCAAAATTCTGTTGTCTTAATAACTTCAACCGTTTTCATATTCTTGTTTTGTTTTGCCAAAACTTCTTTCATATTTATATTCATGCCATCTTGAAGAAGGCACAAAGATGAAAAAGATGAAAACTTTGAAATAAAATAATGATTCATTTCATTCAGAGGGCAGAATAATGGTGCATTTTCATGTGCCTGGCATTCATTCATTCAACCAGTCCACACAATGGAG